TCATCGGCCTACAACTTTCTCTCTTAATCGCGAAGATAAAGGTTTCTATTATACTGTTTGTTTGTTTTTTTCCTAGCTTCCGTAATTTTATTCTCCCTATAACAAACGTTTAGTTGAGTTATCGCACTTGAAACTTTAACTATTGAAGTCGTTAGAAGGCGTGTCACCAACATTCATGATAAGGAGCTAGTTACATTTTTTTTTATTTATGTATTTATTTTATTTTATTTTTATTTTATTTTCTTTATTTATTTATTTGTAATTATAGTACATAGTTGTGACTGTTGGCGAAAGATTAAGCACAAAGACAGGCAGAAAGACAATATTGACAGAATATTAACAGAATGTCATTTATTAATACACTGACAGCACTGAAGAGAGAGTACTCCTATTTAAACTTTGCTTCAGATCATGCCTAGTAATTAACAGGATCGCATATGAAGCTTTTTGTTGGCTTGCCATCCTAATAGAATCAAATATTCTCTGATTTTTTTTCGCTCCCCGATCTGCAAGTAGATGTTGACTCTGCGAGCGGAAAAAATATATTCCTATTGGCCAAGTTTGCAAACGGTCATTTCGACCTCTTAATCCATCGATTATATCTTAATTCCTAAGACCAGTTGATTTATCTATTATACAATTTTGGATGACCACTTTCCATATTTTTGTTGACGTTAATCCAATGTTCCAACCCGTCGACCAACGACCTTTTTTCTGTCTGGGTGTCTGAGATGTGAGGCTGTCATTATTAAAGCATTTTTCTTTAGAGAGGTAAATTCCACAATTTTTCCTACAACGACACGACCGATTGGTCCATTGACTTCCTGTAAAACTTCTAAATGAGATACCCTATTTCTGAGATTCTTTCTTTAAAATGCCATGCGTGATACACGCTTAGGCGATCATGTACCTTTCGATACATGACTGACGAGGCAGATTTTTCCCGCAGCCGGTTGCCACTTCTTTCTGCTGTAGACCAGTTGCCATCAAACCATCAGACCAGGTCTGTCTTGCTATTTACCCAGAGCTTGTGGGGGAAAAAGAACAGGATTCATACCTTTCCCAATGGTATTAGCACGTAATTGAATGTAATATATTTAACTGGAATTCGAACTCGGCTCTCCGATTCCTCAATCCGAGCCACTAGCCATTACTCTACTGTGAGGTACCCTATTATATTTTTGGGACTTTCCTACGTCATTCACGCCTAGAAATAAATCTATGATCTGAATTGACTTTAATGTCAGTAAGCAATATTTGCTTTAAGAGTAGTTAATCTGGAAGTAAACTTGTAACTCAGTGTCATATCAGAGCATCAGAGTAGTTAGGTGAAGCAGAGGGTTGACCTGGAAGGTAACTCATAGACAGCGGGTGCAGTTTTGCACCTCACAGAATATCAATGACTGAACCCCCCCCCCTCGAAATATACAGTTGCGCTTAGAATGTGCACACGTAAGACAAGCGGATTACTGGAAAATATATAAGCGTCCCAACCGAGAGAGAAAAAGAGAGAGTGATTCACTTAAAGATAAATGTCACATCGAAATTCACATTCTGTATTGCTCATCTAAATATATTCTGAAAATGTAACAACGTCAGCTCGTTGAGTACTAATTTTACTATTAAAGCCTTTACTTACATAATTCGATTTTATATAGTGTAGATCGATAGATAGATAGATAGATAGAGAGAGAGATAGAGAGAGAGAGTGAAGATAGATAGATAGATAGATAGATAGATAGATAGATAGATAGATAGATAGATAGATCTGCAATGTCACTTATATAGCGTAGAATCATCGTCATTCATTTCACATGAAGTTAAGAAGTAAAGGGCCACTGTTATATACTTTCAACAACCTCATAAAGTGAAGCTGTAACTTGAGAGAATCTTGGGCCTTGTATTGGGTGAAAAATACGGATAGGGAGATGAACAAAATGAGAGAGAGAGAGAGAGAAAGAGATGAACAAACTGAGATAGAGGGAGAGATGACTCGACATAGATAGAAGGAGAGAGAGATAAATCGATAGATAGATGAACCCAGAGAGAGAGTGAGAGAGAAATGAACCGAGAGAGAAAGATGAATCAATAGAGATGAACATAGATAGATAGATAGATAGATAGATAGATAGATAGATAGATATGAACCAGGGTACATAGATAAAAGGAGAGAAAGAGAATATGATGAACCGAGAGAGAGAGAAAATGAAACTAGATAGATAGATAGATAGATAGATAGATAGATAGATAGATAGATAGATAGATAGATATGAACCGGGGTAGAGAGATAGAAAGAGAGAAAGAGAGGGGGGCGTGGTGAACCGAGATAGAGCGAGAGAAGATGAACTTAGATAGATAGATAGATAGATAGATAGATAGATAGATAGATAGATAGATAGATAGATGTATTCTGGGATGAATTACTGGCATTACTCTATGGATTCTTCGGAATATTGTTTTCATGTTTATTGTTTCAATGACAGTATTTCGACGTGACACGTTCTTATCGAATCAACGAGAATTTTCCCAAATGTAGGGCCACCACAGTGAAAGAAGATATGCAAAAACAAATTGGAAAAAGGTCAAAATCTGTGCCGAGAAAGAAGGACAGCATACAAAATGGAGACTTTGTGTACCCTGGAGAAAAGAAAAGAAAAACGGAAAATCGGAATAAAAGAACTAAGAGACAAAATCTCGTCGGAAAGACGAATCTAAAACTTTTCCGAAATGAAAAGATGACAAATGTTACGATATGTTATGAGTTTGTCAAACTTATAAAAATGTTGGGATTATTATTACCATTATTTACATCCGAACTAATATCTTTATCTTTGTTGTTATTATCATAAAGTTTCCGCCGTTGTATTCTCCGGCCTCCTTCAGTGGCCGACCGATCAAGGTAATTCCGAAGAGAATCCTTTGTTTAATCTACGGAGCTAAATTGTTTTCCTCTTGCTGTCCATGATTTTTCTTGTCCCACTGTCCATGTCTTGATATATCATGTCTTGTTCCTTTCTTGATGGCATCGCCAAATTTTCTCTCTCTCTCTCTCTCTCTCTCTCTCTCTCTATCTCTCTCGAAACTTGACTAATGCACGGAATAATAATGCAACACAAAATGTACTTAGAACAAAATGTATTGAAACAAGAAAGTGTACACAATATTTACATATAGTCTTTTGTATATTCCTGGGAAGACCTTTCCTGGAGAATGTGTTGACTGAGTCGCAGTCGGGCAGAGTCTCTGTATTGAATCTCTTGATTCCTCCCCTCTCTTCCAGGTACCAACCATATTTATATGGTCGGTACTCCACTATGCAACTTAGGTGGATCCTACCACAACATTTCATTCCACTTCCATCATTCTTTCTCTCTATTTAGTTGCTCTCTCGCTTGCTGTCTCATCACCTTGTCACTCTAACTTTTCTCTCTCTTTCTCTTACATACTATCTCTCACCCTCTCACTTCTTTGTTTAATCTAAGGAGCTAGCTTGTTTTCGTCTCGCAGTCCCTGATTGTTCTTGTCCCGCTGTCCATATCACGTCTTGTTCCTTTTCGTACTGCTCTGTTATTGGTGGCTCTGTTACCACTGAGGCCAAGTACACACTGCTCGGCCCAGGGATTGAACCCACAGTTGTCTTAATTTCAGATATGAAGGGTTAATGTTATTGTTTATTTCAAACTCGTGTTTCCGTCCTACTTTTTTTGTTTATTTGCGTCTCAACCCTGCGGTTGTTTTAAGGGAAAGAAAAAAAATGACAAAAACCAATAAAAAAAAGGAAAGGATAAAATGAAACCAAGTCATTAAGATTAATCTTTTTTTTATACACTTCAAATTTCGGTATAATTCCATTTGATTAGTATTATCTGAAGTATTTCGTATCCCTAATTATGTTTTTATGTCTTGTATCGTTTCAAAATCTGAACTAAAATATTGACATCTTGCAAGAATTGCTTAATACAGTAGCATCATTTTTTTGGTTTCGATCAAATTATTTCGCCGAAAACGTTGAGATAAAGGTGAACTGATTTTTTTGTTTGTTGTTTTTTTTTTTTTGGGGGGGTATTTTTTTATTAGAACGAATATAACATAAATAAACACCAATATTGTATTTCAAATTTGATCTGCATAAAGTTTACTAATTAGTAATTTACAATTAAATCTAATACAGATAATTGCATAATCACTTCTCATTGTTGGCAATACCCTTAAATATAGCAAATATTTATATATAACTAATAATTTATATAATGACATTGATTAAGTCCGACATTTATTTAAAATTGATTAAGTCCAACAGTTATTTAATATATTTTCTGTTTAAATAAATTGTATCTTATAAAAAATAACGTATAAATATGTATTAAACACACATAGATTAAGGACATTTTTATGTTTAACGTTCTTTTTTATAGATACAAGTATTTAAGCAAATGCTCTGTTTATAACAAACCTGAATGTCCGAGAAATTTTTTCATAGAAAATATTCGTACTTTGACAGGATTCGAACATGCATCCTATACGGAACCGTCATTTACGCTGACGTGCCTAACCTCTCGGCCACAAAGAAGCGCTCGGTAGGCAAGGTCGAATTTATAACTTCAAAACTTCCATGAATCTCGTACATTCATAACTGCTCTGGCGTATCAAATGTAAACAAATGACGTCATATATTAAGAAATGGACAAAGTCCGACAATTTAAAATTTTATCTATAAAAAAGAACGTCGGACTTTGTCCATTTCTTAATATATGTTAATGTTATTTAATACTGTTTATTATAAACAGAGCATTTACTTAAATACTTATATCTATAAAAAAGAACGTTTAACATAAAAATGTTATATATATATATATATATATATATATATATATATATATATATATATATATATATATATATATGTATATATATATATATATATATATATATATATATATATATATATATATATATTATTCGAATTCTCTAGACAGACTCAGATATCGAGGGCGATGTAAATGCAGTTCACATTTGCTCTGTTTCGTTCAAACTCCCTTTACTGTTTGGAAACTAGTAGTTCAGTTGAATAAGATATAGCGCTTAGGGTTCTCAGTCTATACCTGTTATAAGCAACCTACGGCCTGCAAACCGCTTACAGACAATTTAGCTTCCTTGAGAAAAATAAGGTTTATTAAAATTTTATTTACTTTGTTCTCACTTGTTCACTCACATTATCTCGTACATAATCATATAATAATAATAATTATTATTATTATTATTATCATTATTATTATCATTATTATTATTATTATTACGTACAATGTTTCATGGATTTTGTAACCTTTCGTTGATGGTAACATTTTCAACATTTTTGCACTTAGGAATTTCCTATCGGAAAGAATTTTTTTTTTTTTAGAAAGTAAAGGAACACATTTTCCAGAACCCCAGACATAACGGTCATAATTTGGGAAGCGGGTCGAGCTGAAAATTTTTCAGCATACTCTAGTATGTGAAAACACGACTTTTTTTTTCTCACGCGCTATCAAAACACAATCTAGACGGTATCGTCACATTCTCTCTCAATCGTCATTCTTTCTCTCTCTTTTGTTGCTCTCTCGCTTTCACTCTCGTCAATCTCTCCCTCTAAATTTTCTCTTTTTCTTTCTCTTACATTCTCTCTCTCTCTCTCTCTCACTCTCTCTCTCTCTCTCTCTCTTTCTCTCTCTCTCACTTGTTTTTCTCCTATTCTGAATCACCGCGTACATATTCTTGTTAACACCTCTATTTTTCTCTCTGTGTCCTCTTCATTGTTTCTATCTTTTCTTCCATCTCTATCTCTCTCTCTCTCTCTCTCTCTCTCCATATATATATATATATATATATATATATATATATATATAGTTAAGCAACGTTGAGCCTAGTCAGTATCTTAATGGGTGTCCGCTGGCGAATACCAGCTGCTGTAAGTGTGGATGTCTGGGTGGTTTAATGGATACTGGCTCGAAATTGTTAATCGTTATATTCACTTACACGCAAATACACTAAGAAAGATTTAGAATCTACCTTTCCTTCTCCTATCTATGGGTTAATTAGTAAAACTCTTATCATTAAATCATTATTATCTCCCCCAAACCCCCCAAAATTCTTACAATATTTTCTGGGTTTAAAACAACCTGTAAAGCGGTAGAAATGATTCATATATATATATATATATATATATATATATATATATATATATATCGAGAGAGCCAGAGAGAGAGAGATACATATATGCATACATACATATACTTTAAAAATCAGGAGGTCAGTTGAATCCGCTACCCTGGTTTCAACCTTACGGTATCCTCAGGCGATTTTTATCAAATGACCTCTTAACGCTTTATATTTTTTTTTAAAACAACTTGCTATATTATTTTTTTTAAATAAATAAACGAACTCACGACTTTGGGTGTAATAGAAAGGGAAGGGGGAGGGTGTGAAGAAGAAGGACAAGAAAGGGGAAGAGAAGTAAA